TTTTTTAAAAAAATAAAACATCACGGTTTAGGTATATATCTGTAATGAAATTACCCTTCTACCACTCGTCCGATAAGGATAAGTACTGCAACTGTAGCCCGGTTTAACAGGCTACCGAGGACTAGAAGAAAATCACAGTGGAAGAAGTTCAGCTCGCTTTGGAGCAAACGTAAGAGGGATTTCAAACGAACCGACGAAACGACGTCGCATCGTTGCTTTCGAATAAATCTACTTTTCGACTACCTAAAAAAAAAAGAAGGAGGAAGATGAGGAAAAAAGAAATAATAATAAAAAAAAACACGAAAAGAAAACTTTCGAGCAATATATATATATATATTAACATCAACAATCGATTTCTTCTTGTTCCCTCGATTGGAAATTTCGGAACGAAATTTCCGCGAGAAACAAGAATTTCCAGTGGAGTTATAAAACCGATTAGAAGCATGAAAAAGACAATTATTTCTTTGGCGAGCATCGGTTGCTGTTTCTTTCGCAAGCCAGTTTGCACTTTTGACATTGTTTGCAGAAATTCACGCGGAAAAGATAGATAGAAACGGAGGAAAGAGACAGATATATATACACGGAGGATGGTGAAAGTTTCGTCGTCGTTTCGAAGTGCCAGTTTTATTTCACTTCGTTCGCACTATCGTTGCATGTTTGCACGAGGAAATTTATTGCCGCCTCTCAGAATTAATTGTTGACGATATCATGAATCAACGTACGGGTGTTTGTCGATGGATAAATCAGGTTCAAACACATCGTGTCTAGCATAACACGTCAAACTTGCATAATATTAAACCGCTAATACGTATGGCCCGCGCGGGGACTTTCCACTGGCGGCCATTTCTCCTTCCATGTCGCGACCTTGCCCAAAGTGTGTGGCGCCATCAAGAATAGGAGGAATTTTCGATGGAACTAATGCATAATCCTTTTTAATTACGCAGTGAAACTTTTTTTTTTTTAATGCTGGCTCGTAATGCCTTTGTAGCCTTTTTATCTTTGTTTGGTTCGTGATTTTCTTTTTTTTTTCTTTTTTTTTTTCTTTAAACTATCATAATCTTTTAATTTTTATATATTTTTGTAATATCGAAGTTAAACTATTTGGCAAATAGTATGGCAAAAATTTATATTTGTTCGTTTTGTTTAACTTTTTTTATCATTCCAGAATCTCCAGGGTTCTTTTTTATTCATTTGAAGTTATGGAGTTATTAAATTTTTAATTTTTTTTATCCTATATCTATGCGATGCGACGCGATACGTGATAGAAATGGTAATGGTTTTTAAAGGGGAAATGTTTCGTTTATATAACTATCGAAATGCGTGAAGTAAGTAAATATTGAGAAGTGAAATATTCAGTTGCATAAATAATGATGCATAAAAGCATACAACGTAGAACGTAGAGAATGAAAATTTATAGTATTTCATATAGCTGAAGTTTGGTTTATGACGATGTCATAAACAATTTTAATTTTCAAAATTTTACGATACTACAAATTTATAAAAGATTACGTAAACGTAATAAAATGGAATGTGGTAGATAAATTGACAAAAGACAAGAATGCAAATGAAAAATAACGTGATCTCAAATAAACGAATTCTTACGATCTTAAAAATAAAAATTTAGATTATCTATTATTAAATGTACAATTCTATTATAAATCTTTTTCTCTTATCTGCTCTTAGTAATTTCTCTTTCAACAGCTCTTTAATCGTGCTAAAGAATCGATTATTATACGTATTACACGCGGTATTTTTCAAACATAGACTCCTCCTCCTTTCACGCCTCATGTCTTATTTTTCCAAAGGTCTCGTCACCTGAGTTAAAAGATCAACAATGGTTCATTAATTTTAAATAGCAAATGGAAATTCAAAGCGGCTCCTCCAAACATATTCAAAAATGTTGCGTGTATATTGAAGTAAATATTACCACAGAATTCTACGCCGTTCACGTTACACGTGATGCCGGCTTTTGGAAAGAGAAAAAAGAAAAAGGAAAAAAAGAAAAAAGTGATTGCACGGCTTCAAACACGAGGAAAAAGATAAATAAGAGCACGTGATTAGAAATTTTGCTATCTCTAATGTGTCTGTCTATCTCGAAAATATCTCGATTTTCGAGACAAATATTTACCGATCTAGCTATTCAATAATCAGTTTTCAAACTTTAATGTCGCCTTGTGATCCCCGTAAGACTAGACTTTGCCAATTTATTCCGCTATAAAACACGAGATGTCATAAATTACCACCCAGAGATCCCATTAAAAAATTGCAAAGAGAAAGGACAAAATTTCATTGTAATAAAGAAAATATATATATATATATATATATGATTAATCAAGGATAAACTACATTTATTCGTTAATTTTAAAAAACTTTAAAGAAAGGAATAAAATATCCATCAAATCTATCGAAATACTATCATTGTAGAATTACTTTTATTCTGAATTAGAAATATAACTAAGAATTAATTATATAATTCCTTTTTTTTTTTGCAATTTTAACCTATATTAATCTATTGCCATCGTTGCAAATCAGAATTTCTCATCAACTGATAAAGATTTATAACTTCTCGATCGACCTGCATATATACATTTCCAAAATTTCCATTAGCCGAAATTGGCTAAATCCTGCGCGATGAAATCATCGGATTCGATATCTCGTCTTAATTATTCGAAACTTGCGAATCTCGCGACAGCTGTGCAAATCCTCCACACTCGATATCGAGCAGACAGCGTTATTTAATCGTATAAATAAATCCATTATGCACGAAGATCGTAGATGGGAGAGGCGAAATCAAAACGCGAAAAATTTCCCGCGAGAAAGATACGAGGAGGAAGATTGACCATTGCGATCACACGCTCGATTATCGCTATGCGCGCGAAATGAATGAAAACAACGAATCCCATTCGCGGGATGTGTTGACTCATCGAACGAGGCACACGATTTCATGATCGCCCCTGGACGCCAACTGTCGTCCAGCGTCAGGTGTTCGACAGCATCGATTCCGTCACCATTGGAACAATTTTTGCAACCGATAGATCCGGATGGATTTTATTGATAAAATTTCTATCACGGTACGTGGCATATTTTTTTCTCTTTTTGCGTTTGTGCTTCTCTTCTTCTTCTTTTTTTTTTTTTGCATAGTTGTATAATTTTTCGCAGAACTTATAATTCGTTTGTTCTGGGCGTTTTATTGTTCTAGAAAAAGAAACGAATTAGGGTAAAATACGCGTAAAATTTTCCACCTCTTCTCTAGATACGATTATTAGAAGAATTAACTTTTTGTCTTCTTAAAAGAATTGTATACGTCGAAAAATAATTAATGCAACGTGTTATCAACGTGTCGTTACGGAATTAAGAATATAACAAATTGAAGAGGACTATCACGTTGAAAAAAAGGTTCGATTCGTTAAAAAAAAAAAAAAAAAAGGAATTGGCCGAGAAACGATATTTTAAGTAAAATTTAATTGCGACTCGTTAGCAGATCGAATTCCAAACAAACGAGATCCGATAACGCGCAGTTACGCAATAATCCAACGTTTCTTTCGGAAAAATTTCGCGAGGATTTAAAATTAACGAGGTGACCGGCAATTATAAACCCGGCAGACATCGATCGATCGGTGAAACAGATCTGCGCGGATTTCCTCCAGCTTTGCAGCAAATAATCCAGCAGCTGTTCCACCGGTGACGAATTAATCGTCCGGATGCAGCGGATGATACGTTGGTCATTGGAGGGGAAAAGGAGACGAAACAATTTCGACAAAGTAGAACGCAAGAAGAACGAAGATGTTGAAAGCATAGAGAAACGTTTAACGAGTAACAGCCGAAGAGAAAAATGAGGAGTGTATGAACGACGAGCTGCATTTTGACGAAACGAGGATAAGCGAGAATTTGAATTCTCGGGGCGAAGTTTCGATCGAGTTTGGCGAAAAATGTAAATCGGGGAGGAAAGTTCGAACTTTTCTGGCCCTCGACGTTCCCCCATCGGTCCCCGGTGCATTTGGACGACGGCCAAATGTAACGATGGCGCAGTAACGCGCAATGACGTGCAACTTAAGGATTAACTGGTTCCGAAAACCAGTGATGGCAGACGTGTCCAAACGCAAATATCGACAATTTCTGATGAAGATGATGACGGCGCACGCAGATGCGCGGATTTTCCATCCGTGAATTTATTTAACGGTAAAATCTGGAAAAATTGAAATTTTTGGTAATTTTTGAAAAAAATTAAAAGTTTGGCGTCAAGGTTTTAACGGATTGTAAATTACGGATTCGCGAAGATCCGTGGTTTCTCGAAAAAGGACTAATTCCTGTCGGTTTGGAAATTTGTTGAAATAATTGTAGATTGTTATTTGCGGAACTTTATATGCAAATTACTTTGTATGTAAAACTTTGTTCCCGATTGATCTTGAAAAATTGAATAGAGAATTGGAATTTGTTGGAGAATCGACATCGCTTGAAGTAAGTATAAAAGGTATTATCTGACAATCAATAATGGGACGATATCTCGCTACCTACGTCAATTATTTTCTTTTCATCTTATCAAGTGTAATTGTATCATTATCAAGCAAACATATTACATTTATTATTACCTTAATTTATCTTTAGTTTATTTTTTGTTGTAATTTCTCGATTGTTAATTGCCCCCGATTAAAACAAGTTAAACATCATATTTCACGATAATCCGTCAATAAAATTCGACGATTATTCGGAACAAAATGTTCTCAAAACATTTTTATGTAATCTGATAAATGGTTTTTCTCACGGGGCCGCAAATACGTTTTTCCTGGGTAAAAACGTGTTGACGTTTAATCACGCCTCGATCTGAAGAATTTTCTTAATCTTTTCGAGAATATTTAACCTCAACAATGTAAGCAAACACGAGTGGCAATTTTCAAGGTATAATCGAATCCGGGTTATTATATTTTCTTTCGTCGTAAATCACAGGAAGCGATGAATGGCGTACGAACGAGGCATACGATTGCCCTAATCGCTACGTTTCCACTCGTTCGAATTTCTCATTGCCTGCGAGAAAAATGACGAGTCGATTGTTTGTCAACGCAAACATAACAACTCTTTCGAGACGTATAATTCCCTTCTTTCTGATCGAACATACGTTATTAAAAATCGTTTCAACATCTTAGTGTAAAGAAAATTATATAATTCGCAATTTAAAAATCTCACAATGTATTTCGACGTTTGCTCGGCGGGAAACAACAATGTTTTCAACAACAGAAGCGCAGAATAAATGCTCGTGTCGAACGTGACGGCGTAGGTAATAATCGTTATTGTTGGATCCGAATTGTATAAAAGGAATAGCGGCGATAGCGTATCATAGACGATATTTTGTCAGAATGAAGTGTTATTATTATACTACGTTACCTAATCGACGAAAATAAACCTTGCAGTCTGGCAAGTGATGATGCCGCGACCGTATTCATCACTCTTTCAAATGTTTGTTCAATAAAATCATCTAGCTTTTAATACTAGGGATAACGTATTTTTCTTAACTCACGTTTCTAACTTGTTCATTTGCGTGCATTGTGATTTTCATTCCGTATTAAACACAATGATTCATTCCGAGAATGAAAGTACGTAAAATACTTTATTGGAAAATCGATGAAAATTATAAACGAAATAGGTTTGCAAGTTTACGTCTAAATTTTTGAATTCTTCGAGCATATAATACTTTTATATTTATATAAATAGATATCGTTAAATTTTCTATTATTTTTAAATAATTATTCCACGAATTCTTGGAACGATAAAATGGTGTATATATAAAGTGCACAATATTACGAGTATCATGAAGTTTAACCAAGCTTGCAAGACGACGGATGCATCATTCATTAAACTCGATGCGAACTCTCGAAATTTCCGAACCTTCCTCCTCTCTCCTCTCTCTCTCTCTCCCTCTCTCTTTATTTCGAAGATTATACTTGGTGGAAGGCATCGATAAATTTCGCTATCGTTTAGCACGAATATTCCTCGTTAATTGGACGATCAGTATTTATTGCCTCGCGGTGTCCCTTTCGGTTCTTGATTAATGCGAAACCCATGATTGATAACGAGGCAAGCGACGCAAGAGATCTTGAATATGACGCGAGATGATACGACTCCAATAACATTCTTATCTTCGTTAATTCGCTAGTTAAATCCTGAATCTTTATTCCGCCAGACAATGGACCTTGCAATAAAGAGACAGATTTCTGAAAATTATTCAATCTAAAAGAATCTTCCACATCGCGTAATATAACTTGGATACATTATAGATTTCGATAAAAAGTAAGATTTTCTTTTTCTTTTAAAATTTACCAAAGTTCGAAATATCTCTTTATTCCTGATTAAGAAATTGTTAAAAATGAATCTTTTCGTTACGTCATTTCTTCTTTGAGCCAACTGCTTACTCTCTTTTGTAAAATTTCGCCCACGCGCTTTCTCAAAAACGGCCAATTATCCCGTCGATTCTCGTCAAGTGGCGTTTTTAATGAACGCGCAACAAGCTCGTTTAAACAAATATTTTGACTGTGCAGAGTGCACTTAACACCCTCTTCTTTCACCCCAGTCCATTCTTCCCTTGAAAACCTGTGTCGAACCTCGTGCAATTTCGCCAGAATCTCTCTCTCTCTC